AGGGCCCCTCAAATGTTCAGAATCTTGTCAAGCATTTGCTCTAAATATCCTCAGGTTTTCCTTGTTACTATTTAATGTAATTGCATATGGACTCCCAGGTGTCCAGGGTTATGGACTTAAGTATAAAAGACTAACAGCTCTGATCCACAGGGCTTCTCAGAACTCTCAGAGAAGCAACTAGGATAGTTGCTCCTAGATCTGAACAAAACCCATTCATTTTTCTATATCCACGGCTCCCAGGACCTTTTTTTTCTTTCCTATTACGTGGCTCACAGACCTACATGTGGAGGATTTGTGACCCTGTCTGTGCAACAGACTCGAGAGGTCTGTAAGCCTAGATTTACAGGAGGATACGGAGAGCTGAGGGGCGGGTGAATATGCTAATTTACACAAAATGCTGAGGGAAATCTTCACTGAAAAAATGACATTTGAGCAGAAAAGTATGGGAGGTATCAGGGGTAGGGCTCCCTTGGAAGAAGGAACAGCAAATACAAAGGTCCTGATATTCCAGACACACCTGGAGCACTAGAAAAAAGAAAAGGATACATTGGGAAAGGGCTGAGCAAGGGTGAAGAGTGGTAAGAAAGGAGATCTGAGGAGAAACAGGAATTGAAGAGGGAAGTCCCTGTAAGACATTGTAAGTATCCTCAGGAAAATGATATACCATCAGAGTAGTTTGAACAGAGGACTGATAATGATCTAATTTATATTTCAAAAGGCACTCTTCTGCTATGTTCAAGATAATCGGGAAGTGAGGAAGAAGAGAAGCCTGAATGGCAATAATCTTACTCATATGATGATGGCTTGAACAAAATGGTAGAAAGTAGTAGAAGTGTGAAAAGTAATTCAATTCTAGAAATAATCTAGACAGACAACAAATAAAGGCTACTGCAGTAATTGAGGTGAGAGATGTTAGACTGCATTATGTTGGTAGTAATGAAGCAAACTCAAAGAATTCAGAATAAGTTTTAGAGTTGGAACCAAAAGGATTTGCTGGTAGATTGGGTATAGGAAGTAAGGAAAAGAGAGAAAAGAATTACCTTTGGGTTTCTGGTTTGAACAACTGAATATAGAAAAATCAAAAGTTCTGTATCGGTCACATTTAATTTGTCATGTTTATTAGAGATTTGTATGAAAAAAAACAAAAAAGCATTTGGATACAAGAGCTCAGGGCTGGAAATAAGAGACATGTTAGTAATTTAGAGATATTTAAAGCCAGGAATAAGGTGAGGTCACCTAGAGGGAAAATGAATAATAAAAGAAGGGAACCAGGGTAAAACTGCAGTGGAAGAAAAAGTACTCCAACACTTAGAAATGCACAGAAGAAGCCAGTAAAGGAAAGTAAGAGAACACCTTACTTTTAAGGTGATGAGGAATGAAAGAAGAAACATAACAATTAAGAAAGTGTTTAAATGAGGAAGAAATGGATGACTTTGTTGAGAGATCAGGTAAGGCAATATCACAGCCTTACCAAGATCAATCTTGTGGGACTTTAGTAGGGATGGAAGTCCAAATAGAGTGAATTGAAGACAGAATAAGAGTTGAAATGGATTACTATAGTCTCTGATTGTGGATACATTTTCAAGATATTTTGCTGTAGACGGAAGTAAAAAGTAGGATAGTGGCTAGAGAAGGATATGGGATGATTTTTAAGACAGATGAGAGAAATATGTTTGTATGCTGACAGAAATGATCCAGTAAAGAAGGTGAAGTTCATTATGCATAAGGGACAATAGCAGGAAAGAAAGAAGGAGTAAATGGGTTGACCTTTGATTGGAGCAAGGATATTCACTCATAGAAACAAAAAAGAAAACAGAATAATATGAGTACGAACGTAGGTAGCTGGTCGATAAAGAATTTGTCTCGTTGCTTCTACTTTCTCAAAAATGCTAGTAAAAGTCTATTTCAATCAACTAATTTAAGTAGCAAGTACAAGGATAGCTGGTTTTCATATTATTATTTGCCTCGTATACAGTTATTACTCAATATGTGTGTCTGATTTTGGGAACACGTTAAATGTTTCTCATATGCATTTCTTAACATGGACACTAGTATCTTTTTTCACCTACTTCATTCTTCAGAATCAAGTCATATACATGTAACTCTTAAAGGAGTTAGACTCTCAAATGCACTTTACAAAAGGTTCAACTGTCCAACTGCTTAAATGTAAGTTAAAAGCAGTTGTAATCTGATTATAATGCATATCTATTGTTTTCTACCAGCTGCCCTCCCACACTTCTGGTAACAGCCTCTCCCCCATCCAAGGCTTCTTTTGTAGAAACTGCAATTCTATATATCTCTGGAGGGATTAGCTGCAGAGGTAGATGTGTTACCCAAGCTGAGCAAATGCCTTTCCTAGGATTTTTTGAGGTAAAGTTGGGAGGGGAAACTTTTTCCCTTTCATCACAAGCTTTAAAATACAACTCAGAAGGTCAGGAGCCTTATCCCCAGAGTATGTATGAACCCTTGAGACTAAGAGTAACACACAAGTAGAAATTCAAGTAGAGAATCTAAAAGCAACATGATAGACAGATAAAGACACACAGGAAAAGGCAGAAACAGAGATGGGGGTGAGGAGAGAGAAACAGAAAGAGAAACTGCAAGGCTAAAATAAAGAGAAAGTCTCCTGATGTTATGAGTCCATGAAACCAGTTGGCCCAGAGGCTCTTCCTTTCTGAATACTGGTTACTTAGGCCAATAAATTTCCCTTTTTCATTTAAATGAGTTTGATATGGGTATCTGTCACTTAAACAAAGAATTAAGTAGATAAACATTCTGGCAGACATGAGTAAAAATTATCTGGTAGAATCCAGCTGGACAGTTAGCTCACCTAGTAATGCATGCTGCTAATAGCACCAAGGTTGAGGGTTCAGATCCCTGGACTGACCAGCCACCAAAAAAAAAAAAAAAACAACTATCTGGTAGATAAACGCTCTATCAGAAATGAATAAACAGGGATGTTTCCTCTCCATGCATAAATAAAGGAAAGAACGGAGTATGTCCAGACTCATTTCCATATATCCATCCTCAAGTGACCATTCTAAAAGGCAACTTAAAATATTTGTGTGTGTCTGCACATGCATATTCTGGTAGGGGGTGAGGCAAAAGACAGGCATCACGTGAAAAGCTGCACTGGTAGGTGTTATGGGTTGAGTTGTGTCCCCTCAAAAAAAGCTATGTTGAAGTTCTAACCCCAGTATCTCAGAATGTGACCTTATTTGGAAGTAGAGCCACTGTCGATATAATTAGTTAACTTCAAATGAGGTCATACTAGAGTAGAGCAGGCCCATAATCTAATATGACTGCATATCCTTACAGAAAGACAGCCATGTAAAGACAGATACACAAAGAGAACGCCATGTGACAATGAAGGCTGAGATTGGCGTTATGCAGTTCCAAGCCAAAAAACACCAAAGATTGCCAGCAAACCACCAGAATCTGAGAGGCAAGGCAACACTCCCCTACAGGTTTCAGAGGGAGTATGTCCTTACCCTCCAGAACTGTGAGACAATAAATTTCTGTTGTTTTAAGCCACCCAGTTTGTGATGCTTTGTTATGACAGCTGTAGGAAACTAATATAGTAGATTAGAGTGCAGATAGATGTGTGTATGGCACAACTTTATCTAAGGTTTAAAGAGATTTTAATGTTAGAACCTGCCAACAATATCCCTCTAAACTGAGAATTAATTTGACTTTTTCAGTATTTGCATATGTGCTCCAAAGAACACAGACTTTGGAGTTGGGCTTAAATTCTGTCATTTTAATTAGCTCTGTGACCTTGTTTCCTCATCTTTTAATGGATATAAAAATAGCACTTACCTCATAGTGTTGCTGTGAGGATTAAAGGAACTGATACATGTATAACACTTAAACTAGTACCTGGCATATAGTAAGAGCTATTAAAGTATTAACTATGATTATCATCATCATAAACAGTCAAGTTTAAATGAAAGAGTATATTCACTAGGGTAAAACTGATCATCTGAAGCTCAATTTCTCAAAATACCCTGATATAGCTTTACATGCTAACAAGAGAATGATTATTTAGTACTGCAAAGTTTTTCGGTGATAAGATTGGAAGGCCCAGTATTTTTTTTCAATTTCACAAAACTCTGTGCTAGCTTGTTTATATGAGAAATTCTAATTTAGAGAAAATATACATATGAGATTAATCCTACTTGATTAGAATATATGTAAGTTACAATTAATAAGAAAGTTCTTATAAAAAATTTTACATACATACATATGGCAAAATTTCTTGAAAAACTTGTCAGCATCCTATTTTAACTATGCCAGGCTTTTCATTTCCAACATAACTGTAAAACCTACATTTTAGAAATAGTAACGATAAATCATTCTTGGATGACACTGTGCTTTAAGTAATGTCCATTTCATAGTCTTTCCTTGACATGGTTTTTCCAAATTTTTCTTGTAAAAATAAAATTATTTCCAAGTGGGTGATAACTTTTAATTCTTTAGACAAGACTATCTGAAATGCTTAACAAAAATGTATTGCAGTTTATGATCTAAAAGACAAATCTTCATTTTTTGTTTTAGACACAGCAAAAATAACTCATTTTGAAGGCTTTAGTTTGTAAAACTATGGTACCTATGAATAAGTTTTATCTTGTCTAAATTTTGCATTAAAGTATGACTACAAGTAGTACTCACACAATACAGATTTGGTACAAACATTTGATTACCTTCTTTGTAATCCTAATCATGGATGAACATCTAAAATGTTTTTATAAGAAAATAATTTTTAAAACCTCAAATGCCTTTACTAAATATAGGATATCAATTATGCATCAAATTTAATCTATCACATATGATTATATCTAACACATAGAATTTTTTCTCTAAACCACACAGAAATTGTAAGATAAGTAGAATGAATAAAAAAGAACTTACAAAATTTCTAAACTAAATCATCATAAAATAAAGTATAAATTAAAAGAATTCAGGTCAATGGTCTAGTTCTTGAAAAGTAGTCCACTTACCCAGAGTTTTACATGCAAATAGAGCCATGGCACTTTGCAATCTGTCAGGTCTTAGAGCCTGTACTACAAGAACCTTAAAATAAAGTACAAGATATTTTTAAATAATAGATCCCACAACTGCTTTAACTAATAGTTAATGTTAACTAATTAAGGAAATGTTTACTAAAATATGTAAATGCTTATCATTGTCCCATTGTATTTACCATGCTTCAAACTGTCATAATTGGTATATATTAAAGATACCTCTTTAATATCCAAAATGTTACTGAAATCCATTTATCTCCTCAAGCCTATCATCAAAATTAAACGCAGGGTTTAGCTATGTCTTCAGGATCTAATAAAGGACTAAATGGCAGGTGAAAATAGTAAGTCGTTAAGGCATTTCTAGTGATAGCAAACAAAGGCCCAGAAGTCCTGCCTCAAATTTTCAAATCATTATTTTTATGCTGAATCATGTATATCTATGATATTTCTAGGTATTAAAGTTTTCAAATGAATTTTTTCTTAGTAGTTTTCCTTTTATTTTTTTTAAGCATACTAGGTAAAACAATTCACTTTGTATGGAGAAAGGGGAAAGATCTCACAGCCAGCAGTCTAGAAAAGAGATAAATGGAAGAGTCAGCTCCTGGACAGCCCTCATACTCTCAGCCTTTCATCAAGCGAAAAAATTAGGTGGAACCTACCACTAGGTTTCATCATTTTGTTTTGAAAGAGAATGAGGAAAAAGAATCCCCTTTTCCTCACCATTAAGTCCTTTCCTTAGATATAACTCTGTGAAATGAGCAAAGAACCTATACATTTGTACCTTAGCTTCTTTCTGAACAATACATCTTCTATTCTAAGATCCCCGGTGGGTCAGAGGCAGAGGGAATAACACTCTACCCGTAAACTTTGCCAGTGATTTCACTGTCTGGATAAGGTGGCAAAAGCAGAAAGCCATTACCTACATGTGCCATTAAAGGTTATGCAACACTCTAAAGGCAAAGCTTTCATTTAAATGGCTTCTGAATGACAAGAGAAACATTAAAAACTTTTCTGCATTTACATAATACTAAATTTTACCTGCTGAAATAAGGAAACTTTCTTTGCAAGACTAGATGGAAACTCTTGTTCACACATTGAATTGTGACAGTAAGGACGCCACAAAGCTACATCTTCAAAGCAGAGGGTCTGATAAAGACTGGGGAGAGCAATCTAAAACATAAAAATAACCATATATAGTGAGCTACCAGCAAATATAAGCACATATATACATATGGATAATTTTTTTTTTAAAGAAAAACTAAAGCAAATGAAAATCAATTATTAACAGAAGTTTATTACTTGTTTTCTACTTTGTGTTGACTTGTCTAATAATTTCTAGGTCAGAAACAGTATGGTAGACTCATCCAATGTTGAAACCAGAATTAAATAAAACATTTCCAAAGTAATAGTAAATCAATACTCATAGGGTAACACATCTTATCTCTATGTAAAAACATTTGCACCTAGCTATCTCCACCTTGTGGAGAAAAGAAATGCTGCCATTAAAAATCAAGTGCAAATTTTAAGGATTGCCACAATTGAGTTTCAGGTTAAATTGTAGAAATATGTCAAATTTCAAATTAATATTTACTCTTTCTTTGACAAAACTTTGGTCAAGCTCCTCTTGAGCTCTTTCTGACTATGCCTCAACCTTAGGCTTCATGTCCTTCCTTGTAGAATCCAGGTTTAGAGAGAATTTTAAGTCAGTTTAGTAAGAATCCCTATCTTCAATATCTGATCAAATTCCTCATTCCCCACCCTTCGTAACTGATCACCCTGCTCTGCCTTCAACAAGAATCCTGCTAAATAGGCTTAGCCAGAATCCTTCTTCATCCCTGACATTTCCTCTTAGTAATTTTCCATCCATTGACCCTTACCACTGACTCTCACCCTGCTCTTTGGCTATAATTCGCACTTGTCCATGCTATATTCAGAACTAAGCCCAGTTCTATACAGCCTTCAACAAGAATCCTGCTAAATAGGCTTAGCCAGAATCCTTCTTCATCCCTGACATTTCTTCTTAGTAATTTTCCATCCATTGACCCTTACCACTGACTCTCACCCTGCTCTTTGGCTATAATTTGCACTTGTCCATGCTATATTCAGAACTAAGCCCAGTTCTATACTAAAGTCTCTTTTCCTTTATTGCAAAAGATTTTTGAATACAATTTATCTTCACAGCTTTAACTTCTAGCTCTGGTTTTCTGCGCCAATATCGAATCCTTAACAAAGCATGTTTTTCTAAGCCATATTTGTTTAAGCCCCTATTTGTGAACATGTTGCTTCCTTTGCTTCTAAATGTTCTAAACCTTTGCTACCTCATAAATCTGAATCTTCACCTTAAACAATATCTCAGAGGTTTTCCTAACCATATTAATTCCCTCTACCTCAGTGTTCCCTCTTCCCAAACGTTTTTCAAGAGTGAGCTATAAGATCAGAAATGTAAATATGTACAGATGGATAATTTTCATTGAAAATAACAATGAATTTAGAAGATCTATATCTGTAGTATAGAATTTCATATAATATAAACAAAAATCAAGTATATAAGAACACTATCTAAACATCTACATTCATATCTAAATATTCCATTGTATGGACCAAATTTCATTAGGTAACTTAACTAAAATTAAACTTGAACAGCAGGAAATTAACTAATTACTAATTTCATTTCATTTTTAATAAATGATCAAGTCTGTTAGGATAAGATTTAATGGTGGTCTGTTAACTTTATTAGGAATTAGTATATAGGGCCCCATCACTACTAATTTAGGTGTGCTACCCATTATATGCTTATCATGTACTTGGCCAGAAATCTACAGAGAACATATAAGTTCATTCATGGCAGTGAACATGTAAGTTCATTCATGGCAGAGACTTTTAATATTACAAAATATAAATTTGTCATTCCACTGGTGTCAAAGAAAACCAGACAGCAGACAACAGTACTTAAAGCAATGAAAACAGATTTTATTCAGGACTATTACAATAGGAGAAAAGAGACCTCAGTATAGAACAGGGCTAAATTCTGAATATAGCATGAGCAAGTGGGAATTTATAGTTAAGGAGCAAGGTGGGGGTTGGTAGATAGAAAATTATGAAGAGGAAACATCGGGGTGAGGGAGGATTCTGGCTAAACTAGCTTAAAACAGTCTTGCTGAACACAGACCTGGAAGACGGGAGAAGATGAGGAAAGCAATCAGATATTGAGGGTGATCAGATACAGAGGATGGAGAAATTCTGATTAAACCAACTTAGCAGAGTTCCTGCTAAAACTAGATTTTACATGGAAGTACACAGATGGGCCTAGGAGAAGGTTCAGGAGTCTGACTAAAATTTGGTTAAGTAAAGAATCTTTGTTACTAGAATTATGCTGACTGGTAGTAAGAATCAAATGAATAATTTTTAAAAAAAACAGTTAATGATATACAGCAGAATCCATTTATTTTACTCAACAAATACTTATGAAATGAAGGCTTTACAGAGTAGTGGTAAAGAGCCCAGAATAGGCAACAAGAAATCCAGTTTTGAATACTGGTTCTTCTTCCTAAGTGACCATAAGCAAGTGACTATATCTTTCTGGGCCTTAATTTTCTCATCTGTTAAATGAGGACAGTAACAGTAGCTACCTCATAATATCATTAGCAATATTTTGGGAGATAACCCATTTTAAAATTCTGCATAATGCCTTGAACATTGTAAGCCATTAATATTGTTCTTTACATGTGCTACTGTAATTTTGTAATAGTTATAAAGAAAAGCAAGGGGGAAAAGAGAAGAATGGAAACATATATGTATAGATTTGGAGAGAAATATATTTTTCTTTCATTCACCACAAAAACAACACTTTGGCCTGAATAATTAGAGAACACAGAACTGTTGGAAGTTAGGCTTCTGAACTGCTTTTTCTTCCCCAATGTCCCCATCCTCACAGCCCAACTCACCCTGGGAAGAAAAAAAGAGTGAAAAAGAGAGGAAAAAAAGGAAATGCTATATATGGAAGACCTAGATATTAAAGGCATGCTATTTCATGAGTGAAATATTTAATTAATTATTGATTAAAGAACTAATCATAATAATTCTTTTTTTACCAGGGATTTCATGTCTTATTCAGAGAAATATCAACACTGAGTATGAATAAGTAGTGCATACAAAGTGTCAACAGAAATAACTCAAATATAGAAAAACATTAAAACATCCTTCATAGTAGAAAGTAAATACCTTTAGCATTGCCACTGCCCAGCTTCTTTCCTGATCTATCCAAGATGGAAGTTGATCACGTATTCTTTGTTGAGAGTCCTTTAATAAAAGCAATTATTTTCCTTAGTACATTTGGTAAAAATGAGAGTTTAAAAAATAGTATTTGATGAGTTATTTTTATGAATAGTATTTTGAAAAAATGTTCATTCTGTATATTATTTCTTTATTTTTTATGTATTAGATAAGTTAACATGGTAAAATTCTATGTAACATAAGGTATAGAGAACCACTTAGACAAAAGTCGAATTTATTTTTGGTGTGCTTAAACTTTCATAAAAGTTCAGAAAAACTCAATTGTCATAAGAAACTGTCATAAAACTACATTATTTTTAATTATATCTTGCATTTCAGACATGATCTAGGTTCTGTGTTATATTTTGAGTGTACTGCTTTGAAGAATATTATCCATTATGTATTCAAATAGAAAATTACTACAGAAAAAGCTAAATTGAATGATGTTATTAAGAGTTTTAAAAGGTAATTTTTTTAATTTCAATTATATAAGAAAATTTTTCTAGTTATAATACAAGATTTGATTTTCTTAAAGATTTTTAAATTTTTCTTAGAACAAAATACTTATACTAAGGAAAAAGAGCTACATTAGTTTCTTAGTATTTAACATTCTCAAAAGAATACGTCTTCAAGGTCAAAAAATAAATTTAAATCCCCTTTAAAGTAGGGCAGTAGAGACCAGGACACATTCCTCTAATTTCAGCAATTTAAAACTTCTCCGAAGCAAATTATATTTCATAAAGCCAAAGCCAGAACTATTTTCTCTAAGAGTGAAATAATAGGATTTGTTATTTTTAACTTACAGCTTTTCGCAGCATGTCTCCAACAACCACACCTGTAAATGTATCCCATTCCTATTGAATAAAAATGAGGAACACAAAAAATATAAAAAAACTAACAGTCAACAAAATTATCATCATTTCCCTATAAGATGGCTTACAATGCAGCTTTCTAAAGACACAGGGAAAAAAGCAAAGAAAATTCCTTTCTCATCCTCCTACTTCTTCCAGTACATTAACATTATAAGAATCAATTCATGTACCAATATAAAATGTTAATATAAAATCTACTATAATTATTTTACTAAAACAAAATATAACCACATTATATATGTGTGAGTCTCAAGATTTAAACATTTAAATGTCATATTCAATTAACAGTTGTAACTACCTGTTAATTTGTTCTCTCATATGCTATTCCTCATGAATAGATAAGCAGCAAGGTTCACCAAAAATTTTTAAGTTGTATGTTAGGAAAAATTAGAAAAAGTACTTCCATTAACTTATATTTTCCTATGAATTAGAAGAACACTGCCAGCAATCCTTTTTTTTTTTTTTAGCCACAGAATCAAGACTATGTTATGGAATTTAGTGCTCTAAGAAAATCTATATCTTCACCCTGGAATCCCCCCAGTTAGATAATAATGGGTGCTACCTTACTATTTGTCACACATTAGCCAGTACATAAGCAAAATACATGAAAATGTGAGAGCAATATGGAAAAACTACCAAATCAAGATACTTTCTGCTTCTACCCACACTGGCACCCACTCTTCCTAATGAAATTATGCAGCCACAAATAAGTTAAATAGTAATTATTACTACTACAATATGTGAGTCAGAGAAAAATGTTCTCCTTTCCCAGTGGTAATTTACTTATACTCCAGAATGGAAAAGTAGTGAATATATAGCCTTATGTTGCATAGAACGTCCTGATCATGGTTTTAAAAAAAAAAATTATATAGGAGAAGGTAAACACATCAAAGTTAACAGAAGAAATAAAAAAATTCAAGTTAATAAATTCAGGAGGAACTACACAAGTCAGCCAGGGCCTGTAGAGCTAAAGAAAAAGAACATAGGCAGAATTGCAAATGGTCTAGGGGAACACAGAAGACAGTTAAAATCTGACCAAGTAGAGTTAAAGGTTACTAGATCAAAGTTGCACTGTCCATATACCATCCCCCGGCACCCTGGGTACTGGACTCTTACTCAGTAAAATAATAAGAAACACCACTTGCAAATACATTTTTACAAATCAGACAAAGAAAGATATACGAATAGCCAATAGATACATGAAAAAGTGCTCAACATTACTATGAATCAGGGAAATGAAACCAGAAACATACTGAGATATCATCTCACCCCAGTTAGACTAGCTACTATCAAAAAGACAGAGAATAACAAATGCTGGTGAGTATACGGAGAAAGGGGAACACTCCTGCACTGTTGGTGGGACTGTAAATTGGTGCAGTCATTATGGAAAACAGTAGGAGGTTTCTCAAACAACTAGAGATAGAACTGCCATATGATCCAGCAATCCCACTGCTGGGTATGTACCCAGAGGAATGGAAATCATCATGTTGAAGGAATACCTGCACTCCCATGTTTATCACAGATCTATTTACAATAGCCAAGAGTTGGAACCAACCTAAATTTCCATTATCAGATGACTAGATAAGGAAAATATGGTATATTTACACAGTGGAATACTACTCTGCCATAAAAAAGAATGAAATACTGCCATTCACAGTAACATGGATGAACTTAGAGAAAATTATGCTAAGTGAAATAATCCAGGCACAGAAAGAGAAATACCACGTGTCCTCACTCATAAGTGGAAGCTAAAAAAAAAAGGAAGAAGGATACAACAATCATAATAATCTGCTGAACTTTCAAAAGGCAAGAACAGAACTGAGGCCACCAGAGGTGGGAAAGGAGTAAGGGGAGAGGGGTTAGCAAGAAATTGGTAAAGGGCCACAAAAAATGATTACATTGTATAATATTGAATATACTAATTCTGATTTGAGCATCACACAGGTATATTACACACAGATATAGATATTCAATGCTGTACCCCACAGATATGTGCAATCAACTATGTTTTAATTAAAAATAAAATAATAAGTCATTGATTTTGAAGCAAAAAAAAAAAAAAATTAGACAGACCTGGGATATATTAGTTCTAGCCTGAGATAGGTTTATTGAATTTCAAGAGGGGGTTATATGGTAGACCAGAAATGAGATCACAGACAAAGTTTACAAATTATACATGGAAAGATTAACATAAGTCTGTAGGCTCAAAGAAGCTTCTAAAAGCTGCCCACCCTCTTGCTTCACCTGCTGACTCTTGACAAGCTGGTGGAAGTAATAAATAATGTAGTTGTATGCCCATTTTATCCAACTTTTTACATTTATTAGTTCCTCAGCATAAGGCCAGAAAATAAAAAGGCTGACTCTTCCAGTGCCCTGAGTAAGTGGAACTAGGTTCAGAAAAATCTAGGCAGCTTGGTATGTTACTTAGATTCCATTTCCATCACTCTAGAATGATAGGCTCACCCAGAGGACAACAGAACTAGACATGAGCATCCTATACTAAATTTCTGACTTAGCAAAAGACTAACAGGTTGATATATAATTTCTAGCATAAAGCAAGATCTTGTTTTAAATGCTTCTATTTATTTTTTTCTTTGGTAGCTGGGCCAGTAGGGGGATCCAAACCTTTGACCTTGGGGTTATAACACTACACTCTAACCAACTGAGCTAACCAGGCAGTCCCAACTTCTAATCTAACTATAAATTCACCCATTACCAAATTTCTGTGTAACTCTAAAATTTTCCTCCTTTAATTCAACTTACGTTTTCTTGAAAAAGTTCAGGATGCATGCCTCGAACAAAATGCAAAGCGAACATCAACTGATCAGCCTGCAAAAAATAACAGATGTCATCTTGCTTTTTCTAAATTTATGTCAATGGAAAAGCACAGTCCTTAAATTTTAGTTCACAAAAAGCTTCAAATTACTTACTTTTATCAATGTAAGAAATGACTAGTCAGATTGCATCTATATAGAACAAACACTTCTAAATTGGGGGTGGTAAAGTGACAAAATTTTTAGAGAAAGTGCTAAAGATTAAGCAGCATGTACATCTCACTAAAAAACAAAACTAAACTTACTTAGCCATCTGAAATACAATTGTGAGGTTTGGATTAGTCATTACTAATCAGATCAACCTCCTGAATTAGCATATCTTCAATTTGTCTTAGCGTAAGTTTAAACATACGAGTGACTACATGCAATTATCCCAACTATTTTCTCCTTACTAGATATTAACTTCCTAAATTAAACAGGAATCTATAGTTAACTATTCATTTTCCACTTAATAAGAAGAGAAATCATACCAAATAAGCCTAAACAACAAGTAATTCCATCAATGTGTTTTTACTTACAAAAAAGAAGCAAAGTTAAAACACAAGTAACTGATTGAGATTAGATAACAGAAGAAACTATCAGATGATTCAACATTTCACAGGTAAAACAAAAACAAAAAAAAATTGCTATATATCAAGAAATAAGTATATCAAAAAAGATACCAAATCACACAAAATGAGAGTAACTCAAGGGAGGTCAAACCTACTTTATCAGAAAACCAGAACACACAGTATGCTCAAAAATTCCTGAGTAAACAAAGGAGGGAAAGTAAGAAGGATGGAATATAGAAAAGCAAAGGAGAAATTATGATTCAGACTTTGAGGAGCAATCTGAGAAGACAAATTAAAAGGGAAGAAAGAAGAAAACTCAAGGAACACAGAAAGTGAATTTAATAATTCACCACATATATGCTACTAGATACTGCCAATAGTCTTGGAAGGATCATACTCTGAGTCCAACTGTTTGAAATTAAATAATATATTTACAAAAAATTGGAAAGTAATTGTTTTGTTGTAAGAATTGACTCCAGTTCTAAGGATATATTAAATTAAATAAGAGCCACAAGTTTACACAGGAAATACCAAAATTGAATAAATTAAATTACCTCTGTATTAAAATATAATAAAATAATCTTCTGGTACAGCAATTCTGTGTCAGACATGTATTTTGAAAATAAATTCGATATAATTCTGACATGATGTACCAAAAACACATCTCTAAATACACGGTACCTATGCAAAATAAGATTTGATATTTTAATATTTAAATGGTGTGGAAATTAATGGCAATTTTTTTACATTTATGGGGAGAATATTTTTAATCCACAAAGTATACTAACTGTACTCTCCAAAAGACTGTGTTGGCCTGTTCTCCACTATCTCTAATGCCTACTATAATAGGCATCTGAATAACAAGTATTTGTTATAAAAATGATCTATTTTAATGGACATTTAGAGCCCACCCAGGTCCAGAATCAGAAAACAGGATACAAATTCCATCTGTGCTATTTTGCTAGTCAGATGACATTAGCCAGAAGCAAATTACTTCACCCATGTTAACTCAGTTTCCTTTTCTGTAAAAGTGGGACAATACTACCTTCTTCATGGCATTATTTTAATATTTAAATTAGATAATATATATGAGCCACTTTGCATGGTGCCCAGCATACTGTAAGCGCCCCCCCTCCAAAAAGTTAGTTATTACCATTTTTATTAGTACCAGTAATAATGAATCAAATGAACCCTACATTTTATTCAATCAGTATTAATGTTTCATGAAACAACATACTTATTAACATAGAAAATTAGCAATTGGCCTCTCTGTTCCAGCAAGATAAAAGATGAAAGACTAATTTTAAAAACTTTCCAGCTACAAAAACCTATTTTGGATAAAAGATAACATTTTATAACATGTGGCTGAGGTAAAAATATACACACAAACTTACAGTATTACTACATTTATTTAGCCACTTCTTCCTTTGAACTAAGGAAGAGCAATGTAGTCTCCAGTGTTAATGCAGAGAAGAAAAGCTCCTGCCATTCTATGATCCTGAGACTATCCAGTGGAGTCAGTAAACTAATTCCTAATGATTACTGAGACCAAATTCAGTAAAAACATTTTGTTGTCAGAAAATAGGCATGCAGTGGGTAAGGATGGTTATCCTTCTCCCCGTTTTCTGGTCACACAAGACATCATTACCTTAGGGATAAGCATATAATTATAGTGTTGTCAATCTCGTTACAACACTCCACTGATATTGATACGAGGGGTGACACATGACCTAAGCCAGGCCAATCAGGGTCTTCTTTAATGGTTTTCCGAGCTGCAAATTGCAGAAGAAAGCTCGTTTCGTCATCTGTCTGCTTGTCTAGTTGTACCAATAAATACTTTAGCCAAAAGTATTTAACGATAATATTATAAGGACAAACAATGATGATTCAAGAATAAAACTAAAAATACAATTTACACAGAGAGAGAAAGAGAACATTTACAGCGTGTGGGAACATCACTTCCATTTCCATTAAACTGAAGTAAAATTAAGAATGAACAAATCAAGCTTAAAATTCTTCTGAATACTTGTTTTAAAAAAAAATCCTGTCAATATCCAAAATTGAGCAAATATTTTGGTATCTTTAAAATCCTTGATCTACTTTGCTTATCAGATCAGAAAAATTGGTCATTTCAATTCAATGTCAATTTATTGCAGTATACTTGAATTTTGTTAGAAAGTATCTTCATATCAAGGGAATGTATAATAAGCAAAATCTCAACTAATCATCTACATGAATAACTAGCTGAATGAAGAAAAATCAACAAGAGATGATAGATCACTGGGTGGTATGTCAGCCACACCTCCCATACCATTACATCGCAGACACACTAGTAGATAAAGAATAAAACTATTAAATCAGGATTAATATGATATGAGGGAATCTTAAAGTCAACTTTATAGTTGAGATGAAGTTCACATTTCTAGTGGTTTGTTTCACCTGCATCCCATTAGCAAACTTTCAGCATCAAGCAGAATGCATTTGAATTCCAGCTCCAATATCCTCTAAGTCTGAGTAACCTAGAGTAAGTTTATTAACTCTAAATCTTAGTTTCCACCTCTACATAATAGGATTGTTGTAGACATTAAATATATATATATATATATATATATATGTAAGGCACTTAAAAAGTGTAAGTAATAATAACTATATGACATGCAGCAAACTGATATACAATGTAATATTGGAAAGAAATTTTACTTCAAAAATACTCCGTAAACCCCATGATTTCCAGAGACTAAGAAGCAGTAGAAAATATAATTCATTCTTTTTATTTCTACTCTGTAATATTCATTGCTTTCAAATATATTCAATAAAAAGTATAAAGTAGATGTTACCTTATGAAGAAAATTTCTATGTACAGCATAGAACTTAAGCACTCATATTTCTGCTTGAATCTAAATCACACATTTTAATGAGCAATTCTACGTACATTCAACTGCACTTCCAGAAAACTCAAAGGTTTAGATACAAAACTGAAACTTTTAGTTATATAACAGAAGAAAATTATCTAAATTTTCAAGATTTGCTTTAATAGCCACAGTTTATAAAATTTCTAAACATTCAACCAGAGAACTTCCACTTTTCTAATGTAAGAAAACACATTTTGATGGAAACAAAAAATCAGAATCCAAGTTAAATTATTTGTACAGTAAATACAATCATAAGATGTTATTAATATTTTATTTAAAACCTATACATCTGAATTTTACTCAGTCAAATTCACTTGGAAAAGAAGACAAGGTGAGCTGCATAAACATTAACTTTAAAGGAGTTTGCATGAAAAACTTTTTCTTCATACCCTATAGCTATTCTTTCTATACCATTTCAGATCTCTGAAATAATACTTCCATGAGGAAGGGGAAACAATAAGACTATACTTTCCCAATCCTCCCTTCCAAACCTTTTCTGTACACTTACCCAATACAGTTGGAAACTAACACGCCAACACAAATTTCTGTCATTTTGTATGTATTCCAAATGATAAACTGAGATGAAGAAATGATATGTAAAGGTATATACTTATACATAGTTTTATTATAATCATAAGTTTTGAATTATCCTATAATTATCCTATAAATACTTAGGTAACTGAAATAAAAATTTTTGATCTCTTGAAGAACAAAGAATGGCATAGCTAATAATATAAACTGAAATTGCTAGATGGCTTTCTCTCTATTTGGTTTAGTTTGCTAAAGGTCTAAATTTTCTGCCACAAAACAAGTCAATCATTTTTCTGTTTGAGGTCAACTTGCTTTCAGTTCAATGTGATGTGAATACTAATAATCCTAGTCTGTCTCTATTTCAAGATCTATTGTTGCCATACTGCTGTCACCAACACTACAGCAAAATCAGCATGAGAGAACCTTTGGTAGACAGTTTAACATTATACTCATTGCTAAAAACCCAAAAAGCTTTTACTAAAATATTAAATTGGTTCCATCCTAAATAAGGTTATAGTGCTAAATCTTGAGAAATATATCTCATCTCTTTGTGATTAATGTGCTTTCTGAATTTTTTATTCACCACTGAAACTATGAAATGCTGAATTCATGCTGCATAGGTTTAATTATGCAAACATAAGTACGAATTTTACAAAACAGACATTCCATCTTCAATTAAAAACATGTCTTAAGAGATATAAACCATATTTTTTTTATGATTTCCAACTGTTTACAACAGAGAAGTATTACTCAAGATAAGCAATGAAAAATTCCAATTGGGTACTCTCCTAGTGTAACAAAATGCTGCCTTTAGCCTAACTTACATGTATTTTTAAAAGGTAAAGTGACTTCCAAGTAACCTCACTATACTTCACTGACATGTTAAATCACCTTGGTATTGAGTGGGTATCCTTCCCTAATTACATTATAAAATATATGACATGGGGATTTAAATCTCATCAGTAAATATATGGTATTACTAAAAATAAAATAAGAATATTACACTGAGGTACAGACATGTAAGTTAGAAACAAACAAGAAACTCCTAATAAGAAAAGCTACTAATATTTGGAATGAATAAGAAGAAAAGTTAATATTATCTTTGACAATAATATTTATTTATAACATTTCCACTTTCGAAAAGGATTTGAGGAAGCTTAAAATAACTGTAGCTCCATAACATTTTCGTAAATCACAGCCTACTTTAGTATAGAGATCTTAGGGAGGAAAATTTAAAAAGCATTAAACACATTATTTCAAGATTGACCAAAATGAAACTTTGTAGCTTAATATATTCACTAGAAAATAAAAAAGCCTAAAACTATATTTAAAAAATTACTCATACAAATTCAATAATCTAGAAACAGAAATCCAATGATCAAAAAATAAAAAAATTAATTACAATAAAGTAGATTCATTCTATATAAAGCAAAAGCTGATTCTTTAAGATACCAAGAAAATAGACAAATATGGCAAGATAAAGGAGGAAGATAAAAATAAACAACTTTAAAAAAATAAAGAGAAGATATAAAATAGTGAGATATTATTTATAAGTATATAACCCTATTACAGAATACCATAAAATCACTAAAAATAATGAAGTTATCATATACTCATGGAAAGATCTTCAGGACATATTGCAACAAAAGAGAAGCTACAGAACAAAATATAGTAAAGAAAATTTTTTAAAACTCTATGTATATATTTATACATACAAATATAAAGAGAGAGGAGTGGACTATAAGAAAGAAATAAAACTTTGAACTGGTTTACTCTAATGAAGGTGTAAGAGTTGAAGAAGAGGGTGAAATGAATATGGGTTTTTTTCTATACTCGTATAACTCCAAAAAGTTTGAAACTCTTTCTGAAATATCTTTAAGTTTTGTGTACTAAAAAAATTTAGAGTATTACATTAGATATTGCATTATACAGATGTTAGAGATAGCATGAAATCTATATCTGATGAAACTCTACCACTATAAAAGTTATCCTCATTTCTAGGATCATGACATTTTAGTGACAAAAGGGCTTTGAGATCACTTGCTTGCAATTCCCCATTTGACACATGTTAAACTTGAGGCCCAAAAGGTGAGTTTTAGAATCATAGTTAACTACAAGACCTTAAAAAGAAAAACATAAATCCATAGTTTTCATTAAAGAAGGAATTCTGCAGAAATGATCAACTATATCGCTTTGAACTTGCAATAACATCCCTTGTCAAAGAAGTGAAAGGTATTTTGAAAGATTTCTTCTATAAATAAAGATTTTTCTTCTATAAATAAAGGTATTTTGAAAGATTTCTTGTATAAATAAAGATTTTTCTTCTATAAATAAAAGTATTTTGAAAGATTTCTTCTCAAATAAACATCCTCAAAAAAATCAAAAAAATTACTATCCTATTCTAAAAAATATATTAGCTGTACATTTTTCAAGGTTTTCTAAGAGGCTTATATAATTGAATCTATGAGAGTACTTCAAAAAACTTGTGGAAAAATAGAATTGAAAAATACAAATCTTCCCATGAACTTTTTGAAGTACCTTGTATTTCTCTCACTCAGTCCATTGCCTTTACAAAGCTCCTCTTTAACATTACTTTTTAAAAAAAAATCCTACATGAAAAGTCTCTGTTTTCTATAATAATCAAAATTTCTAAATAGTGT